TCTGTGGGAATTGAATAGTTTGATAAAAACAGAACTTTAACTTATTCAGAATTATTTGAACTTAATTTTCTTTTCCTGCTTTAACACTCTGGAAACTCTTGTGCCAGCATTGTTAGCATAGTTAATATCTAGCATCTATTTCTTTATTTGACTTTGTCATTATCATTAAAGATGCCCCTTCGTTCTCTCTCTGTGTGCTCTACAACTGGTAAAATTAAGGGTGACAGTTATTTAAGCTCTTCTTGTCATCAGAAACTATACATTTGATTAGTCTACAGAGGGAAATGGAGGGGAGGAAGTATTTGAGATGTACTGCCTAAAATATAAATATTTACAGAAAAAACTGCAAACAAGCAGCAATTCTTCCTACTTTCATTGGTTGTCCATATGCAGTACCCATGAAAACATCTGGCAGAAGATCCTCTTACAGACAACTCTTCTGGGCATAATAATGCTCCCAGACAATTCAGTAAGTCTGCAGGGCTTAGTAAAAGAGTGAATGGGTCCCCATTTGGCTGCTTTTGGAATATCCCAAATAAAAGGTAATTTTGGAGGAAAGATCTGAGAGAAATGTAGGTTCCTTTTACATCCCCAAAGCACTCTTTCATACAGTCTGACACACAATTCTTTGTAAGCAGCAGTCTTTTACTTGGAAAAAATGTTTTCAAGTACAGAAGAAATGGAAAAGGGTCTCCAAAAAGAAAAGTCAGTAACTTTAAAGAGATAAACCCAGGTTTCTGGGACATAAAGGCTGACATTTGTTGTTAGATTGTGACACAAAGAGGAATACACTGAAATACTGGTACTAGGACAGCTGTCTAGATCTTCTAGGCATGGTCTAGCAGTTTGAAGCAACTGAAGTTGGTTTATTTGACTGCTTAGAGTTCCTGCAAGACAGATTATGAATAACTACACTAATCCCAAGAGGCAGCTCTCTCCTTGAAATATTACGAAGACCTGACAGAACTTTACTCATTGACATAGGATAAAGCAGTATTATTTTTCAGAAGCACCTGAACAGCTCTGAGCAGCAGAAGATTGATATATTTTTCATATTCACTGACAGGGAAGAATCTTTGAACTATATGTCTTCCTGAATATACTTCCCAGTAGAAGATTCTATGCCAGATTGTATTGTTGAAGTGTGGGGAAACTAAGTGTGGAAGGACATACCTTTGCTAACACTGTTTGGGCCTTCCCAAGAATAGTGATATTTGTATATCAAGTACAACAGAAGAGTCAGAATGAAAATGTTTGGTTTCTTAAATAATAATAAGAGTCAAGTCTGAAGGACTCTAATTCAGAGTGTTCACTAGAACACACACTGGCCTCCTAGGGGCTCTGAAAATAACTTGCATTCATTTTGGCTAAATGGTGAGGCTGTATGTAGCTCGTGGGGTCTTACAGAGCACTACCCTGAAGAGGGATCATCTTTTGAAGAGCAGAGACCAATGGAGAACCCTCTTTCGAGTCTAGCTGCAGTGCAGAGAATAGCAGACTATTTGATGAAGCACTTTTGAATACATGACCAACAGCAGATGACCCTTGTGAGAATAACAAGTACTCTGAGCCATCAAGCAGACAACTGTAGTTGCTTCAGACTCATATCATTAATAGAAGAACTGGACTGCTGTCCTGCTACTGCTATGGAAACATGCATGCTAACATGCTCAGCAGGGATGGGAAGTGGCAGGAGGCCAAGGAGGCTGTGAAGCTCAGGACTTGAGTTGTGGCCTTCGGTTTTAAAAATGTGGATGGGAAGACTTCCCCAAGTAGGGATTGCCTTGGAACAGTGGGATCCATTCTCACTGAAAGTTTGTAAGCCTTGCTGAGTGTTTCTTAGTTGTTCTATCTTGATAGTGACAGCAGTGGTGACAGAATGCAACAAAGGAATCATATAACAAGTTACAGCATGCAACAACTTACAACATACTAGTTTTTTTTTTTTTATTTTGTTTCTTTTTTTTTTTTTTACTTTTTAGTTCATGCTTAAACCCAATACAGAGTATGCATTTGTGTTTGCATGAATTGGTTCTTAGTAGTGATAATCACCAGCTGTTCCCAAATTTGCAGAGGAAAGCAAAGTGAAGCTTGGACTAAGCCCAAGAGGGGAGCTTAGGAGAAAGTTACAAAGGTCCTTTACAAGGTTATAGCCTTTTTTTTTTTTCTTTTTCCAAAATTCAGCTGAGTATTCTAGTCTTGCTAATATTACCTTGATAATGAATAACCTATACTGTTGCTGTTCCATACTGAATTCTCCCTTGCACTCCATATACACACACAAACATACAAAACGGTCTGTTGATATTTCTGCCAGGCAAAATATGTTACAGCCACCATTCATACTCAGTATCATTTTCTCAGCTCTCTTTTGACAGGGTTTTATTGCCTCCAAAGAAGGCCAGTTTCCAAGTACTGGCCTAAGTATTTTGTTTTTCAAGGACATAAGGACATCATCTTCCGATGTGGTTGTGGTTACTGTGATTGCTCTAATGACAGAAGAATTCCCAGGTCTGCTTTTGAAGAGGGTGTCATAAATATAGAAGAGGCAAAATAACAGGGAATGAACAGGTACCACAAATATTTACCAGATGCACAATGTTGGCACAGTGAAAGCTGGGTCATATCAAGGTCTAAATGCTCTCTTGTGCTTTCCTACCCCAAAGGTACCCTAGTGTATTTACCCTTATTTGTGCTGTGTACCTGACAGTTACATCCATCTGTACTGAAAAGCAGCATCTAGGTTTCAGATAGGCTGTTGTGAGATCATTTCAGAATGGAAGGTCTCAGAGACTAAAGGAAAAGAGCAACAAT